TCTGGCTCAAATCTGTTCTTCATCTGTGGGGAGATTTGTCAAGAATTTATTGGAGGAAATTAGATATTGCATCACAGGTCAAAAATCTTGTATTTGTTCCCATTTAAATACGCGTCTTTTTTTTTTTTTTTTTTATTCCCGACTTCCTTAAAATTTCTTCGTTTCGCACATGTTTTGTCGATGGCATTCTTAGCATCGGTCCGTAAAGCCACATCTCTGTTGTATGCAGTAATACAGCTTTGTCTGTAGTGGCAGAGAGACTAGTTAAGATAATACCCTTTGTGGTGGTGGTGGTGGTGGTGGTGGGGTAGACGACAACCTCTTAACTAGTAACTTTGCCACTAAAGACACGCCAGCTGTTAGGTTTTCCTTGCGGCATCAATTGTAATACTAACACCCTCACGATCATCGTCATTAGATACAGGCCAGCTCCCATCACTACCATCACTCTCATCTTCATGTCAGTTACCACCGCCACCAGCCCCACATTCACAAGCATCCCCAACTCCATCACGGCTACGATCACACTTTACAACAGCTACAAACACAACAAACAGCAACGACAAAATAACAATAAAAATGCTCTAAATTGCCAAAGTGGGCAATATTTCTTTGTTTCTATTCTTAAAAGACGCCGAGCCAGACGCCTAGGCGGCAGTAAGGTGCAATCAGGTGGTCATGAATCATGGGAGGCCATGTTTCCTGGTCAGACGCGTGTTTCTCACATCGAAATACGATTTGTTAATATTCTTCCTCGTAACATCTGGTTTATGTGACTGTCTCTACGGCCACACACGCCGCCACTCCATTTCCTACTTTCACTTTCACTTTCACCTTGGCCGCTTTATCTTTTATTTTGCATTTATTTCTAGCTTCCTATTTACTTTATCTTTAATTATTTTATTTTTTTCTCCCTTCTTATTTTTACTTGGCTTCATATCCTGGGTATAGACTTTTTTTTTAAGATCTCGAAACAAGACAGCGTCAAAGAGAAAAGAAAAGAGTTCGCTCACATGATTGTTTCAACATTATACATACATATGTACATACATAGAACACTTCAACGTGGTGTAATGGTTAACAAGCTTGTCCTGCTAGATCAATTACAATTGTGTAGTTCGAAACTCACTCGGTGATCCACACTTTCGGCCTTGTAGAAAATCATTTAGGGCAATTCGATGTGGTGTAATGGTTATTGAGCTTGTCTCAGTAGATCAATTACGACTGAATAGTGAGTTCGATCTTCATTGGGTTTCCCATACATTCGGCCTTGTGCCACATCTAAGCTGCAGTCAGAAAATCACCATACACACACACACACGCACACACATGTCTGAATAAAGGCAAAATGAAAACTTCTTTTCAACAACGCGTTTCGTCCTCCGATGAACTTTATCAAGGCAAATGAAATAATGTCGTTATTTTTTCAAAACTTTTTAATATAAAAACACTCATAAATATACATCAGGCTAACTGAAATGTCATGATAAACTATGGAGGGTGCTACAATATTTAAATTATTCGGACTATAGTCCTCATTTTTGTTGCCATATTTATCACAACGTTTCAGCCGTTGTACGCTCCGGCCTTCTCCAGGTGGTTGGAATATCGAACTGAAACGTTTATTTCGCTCGCTGGGGTAGACTGTTCTAGTTCTACGTGCCATGTTTAATGGATGTCAGTTATCAGTTATCTCCTGTTAATTCCCTTTCTCCATGTTTTCCACTGGTATTAATCAGGCATTGAACTCACACTCTGTGGGTCCTGTCACTGGATCTAACTAACTCCTTTATCCACTGTGCCATGTGTCCTTGAGGACATCTATGTGTGAATATCTGGGTATTATAAACCTACTGTCTTCAATATAATTTTTTACCAGTGCTCATATTGCAATTTTTGCTGTTATCATTTTATGTTTTTACCAGAGCTCATATTGCAATCTTCGTTGTTATTATCGATTTTCTCTGGCACTCCTTATTACTGGTTCCCATATTGTATTCATTTCTATGCTTGGTCGACTCAGGAGATATAGTGGCCTAGAATATGTGCTGATTCCTTAAGTTTACGAATTTTCCAATCATAGACAAAGAACATCATTAAAGAACTTCAAGGTCACATGGCACAGTGGATAAAGGCGTTAGTTAGATCCAGTGACAGGATCCAAAGAGTGTGAGTTCAATACCTGGTGAAGGTGGTGGAGAACTTGGAGAGGGGGAATTAACAGGAAATACCTGACATCCATTAAACATGACACGTGGAACTAGAACAGTCTGACACAGTGAGCAAAATAAAGGGTTCAGTTCGACATTCCAACGGTGGTTGGAATGCCGAACTGAAGCCTTTATTTTGAAGAAGGCCGGAGCGTTGTAATAAATATGGCGACAAAGATGAGGACAATAGTCTGAATAATTTAAATAGTGTACATAATACCTCATCTCAGAAATATAGACAGATACTGAAAGGCCGAAACCTTGTAATAAATATGGAGGATGCTAAGTGATATAATTTAAAGTCTAATAAACAATTTCCTGAACTTTGTAGCTGTTAATAAATGTTGTCTTTTTGCCATCTCTCTCGAACCCTACTCCGCCATTCACTTGCTCAAGCTCGTCAGCTAGATTGTGCGTTGCTTTTCTCTGGCCCTGTTACCCTCAATCTGTCTTGTGAGGATTAAATTTTCCAAGTCTCTTGTTAAGTAGAAGTGTACATTTTTGTTGCCATTGTCTCGAGATCTTCGTCGTTGCGCACATATTTGGTCCATGGTATTCTCAGCATTCTTCTGTAGAAACACATTTTTTGTTGCATCATGTCTCTTATTTATCTGCGAGTAGATTGTTCAGCATTCACTGTCATAGAGGAGGACTGATATTACATAACTGTTCAGTACTCTTCTCTTGGTTTCTAAAGATGTTTTCTTGTTTCTTAATATTTTGCTTAACTTTTTGAAGGCATCTTTCTCTTTCGGATTTCCGTGCCGCACTTTTCCCTCCTTTGTTAATAAGCTTCTTAGATATCTAAATTACTGGCTCTTTGATTTCGGTATTTCGAATCTGTAATTTGCATAATCGCTATTCAATCTATAAGACATAGCATAGAATACAAAAGTAGAATATACAAACAATCAAAATTATCCCCACCCTGGAAATGGGTAGAGAATTAGCCGAAAGTGTTTGGGCCAACAATCATAAGTGACAGTTTCTCCGCGCACAAAACGAAAAGGACAGTCGAAAAATTGAATAATAAACTAGCAATTTTTTCCTGTCCTTTAAAATTCACCGAATCAAGAAAATACAAGGATTCCCTCTGCCAAACACACACACACACACACACACACACACACACACACACACACACACACACACACACACACACATATATATATAAGATTTAAGATTTATGAAACACCAGATATTTGTATATATATAGTGTTCAATATTAAAAATATTAAAATAAGGCGTTAATGGTATTATATATTATAAGAGATAACTTTTAAATATCAATTTTATCCCGACATCGATGTTTCTTGGTAAAATTTCCAGTCTTCAGGGGTTGTGGTTTTAAACGGTATTAATAATTTTTTTTCAATTATTTCAAAAATTGAAAAATTGGAAATACCGTTTATAATTACAACCCCTGAAACACGTGACAAAATATTTTATAGTTTGTCATATATATATATATATATATATATATATATATATATATATATATATATATATATATATAAATAAAAAAAAAGACATTTTTTTTTATGTTTAACGTTCTTTTTTTTATAGATACAAGTATTGAAGTAAATGCTCTGTTTATAATAAACTGTATTAAATAACATTTACTGGCCTGAATGTCCGAGAAATTTTCAAAGAAAATATTCGTCCTTTGACAGGATTCGAACCTGCATCCTATACGGAACCGTTATTTACCCTGACGTGCCTAACCGCTCGCCACAAAGGAGCGTTCGGTATACAAGGTCGAATTTACTGCTTATAAACTTCAATCTTCCATGAATCTCGCACATTCATAACTGCTCTGGCGTATCAAATGTAAACAAATGACGTCATATATTAAGAAATGGACAAAGTCCGACAATTTATTTATTAAAGACATTTTTTTTATGTTTAACGTTCTTTTTTTATGGATACAAGTATTTAAGTAAATGCTCTGTTTATAATAAACAGTATTAAATAACATTTACCGGCCTGAATGTCCGAGAAATTTTCAAAGAAAATATTCGTCCTTTGGATTCGAACCTGCATCACTATACGGAACCATCATTTACGCTGACGTGCCTAACCTCTCGGCCACAAGGGAGCTATGGGGGTCCATCAAATAGAATTAAGAGTAAAAGTGGTCTATCGATAAAAAGAAAAAGGTTGAAAACCACTGTTCTATTGGGTCTGGCGAAGAATTGTCTTCTTTACGTCCTAAACATTTCGTTTACACAAATGATAGTTCAGACATGTTGGATTTTATTCATGACGCCCATATGACAGTCAATATATGAGAAGGTTGTTTAAAATTATTGCCCTTTGGAAAAGGATAAATCCATCTCTTCTCTGGATAAAAATACAGGGTAGACTTTTTTAGCACTGGTAGGGCAAACCCTAATTCAAAACTGTCCAGAATATAACAGAAACGCGAACTCTTATATATGCCAAGAATAATATGTACGGCATCTTCTTTTTACTAATTTTCATCAATTACAAGCCTCAAGAACTACCCTAGATAAAATTTGATTGATTAGTTTTTTACGGTTTATCAACATTTGCAGGTTATTTAAAGCCAGAAAATATTTTTAGATAGTAGCAATATATTTATTTTAAGAAAATAATAATTTAGTGATACAAGTCTTACGAGTCATAGCTGGGGGTGAGGGAAGAAGAGGTGGATTTGTTCCCCCAAAATATTTGTAAGTGAATATAACGAACCTAGCGAGGACTGGAACTCAGCCCTACAAATAACAACTGCGAGCCATTATACTTCACACCACCTGCATATTCAAGCTTACAGCACCTGGTATTCCCAAGCGGTCACCCATGTAGGTACTGACCGAGCTTGACGTTGCTTAGCTTCGGTGATTGTACGGGAACCGGTGTTTCAACGAGATATGGCCGTAGGCTCCAAGATAGAAGATTTAATGAATGGTATGGGTGGTATGGACCTAAGAGGATGAAGTAGGATAGACACCGACTAAATCTGAAGAGGTTAAGATTATAGTGCACGGGGAAGTATCCAAAAAGTAGCGTTTCTTGGGAAGACGCTCTCGGTGTGGAACTTTTCCCTTACAAATGGGATACGTGGAGAATGAGGATGATTCGGCCATGTGGAGGTGGCATGGTGAGTTTTATCTGTAAAGGTGTGAACTGGGGGAACTAAAGAATGTAGCTCGTCCGAATATCTTCCGCGGGAATAGCGTTATTAATGTTCACTCTTCACAAGGCCTGGGAGTCACTTGAGGTAGAGGATTACAAAGTAAGAGGCACAGTTTATGCGGATATGTGGGGAAGATAACGTTTAACCCTAGACTTGGGTAGGTTAAGATTGTAGCGAACGGGTGAAATTTACGTCTTACCAATGGAATAACAAGAGAATGACAGTAATTCGCAGCAATGTGTGTAGTATTTGCGGGGGGGTTCTTTGCCGAGATTGTTAGAACGGGAGGAACTAAGGAATATAGTTCGTTTGAGCACTTTCCATGTAAATAGCGATAGAACAGTGAGAGGCTTGCGACGTTTCGTTTACGGTAAAGGGGTTCACGGGTAGAAAATAATCTGTCGCCCCAAAGGAAGCAGGGATATTTCTGGACACAATTGCGACTGTAAAATGAAGACTAGGCAGCTCCTGCCCATATATGATGGCAGCTCTCCATTTGTGGCCTCATCTGGATCTTGTAAAGGAAGGGGATAGCAAGATGATTGTTATGGAGTGATTTCATAGTGGGGGCTTGTATTTCACTAAGTCGGTCCTAAAATAGGTTCGACGTACAAAACGTTAGGAACTTCATATAATAGGTAATGACGCAGAGTAATCTAGTTGTGGTCGCTGGTACTTTAGTATCAGACAAACGGTCGTCCGGCATCGACAGACTGACCGACCCACTGACCGATTCCCCGTTACTCTTACTACTCCTACTTATTATAGGTGGGAGAGTCTATTAACTATAGAATAGGTGTGTTCCACTATAACAGCGATTCAGATATTTATTGGAATAGTACAGGGAATCAACAATTTGATCCAGCATCTTTAGCGATGGATCGTATGTACGAATTCTGGGTTGAGGTTTAGTCTCAGCAGGTGCTCAAGGCTCTAGTCTTCCCGAGGTAACATCCATTCATCGTAGTTGTTGATAGTTCAGGGTTCGATCGGCGATGATAGTATATAACTAGTTTTCGAGGCATTGAATTGACCCAGGCAGCTGTGGGAAGGGAGCTGTAGGCTGGAAAATAAATTATCGCCTACAATACCACGCACGATTTACATATATTAAAATAAGAGAAAACTGTGGAGAGACATGATCACCTGAAGGGTCATAACATTTTAAGAAAGAGTCGTATTAAGACTTTGTAAATATTGATACGACACCATTATTTTTCGTATAAACAAACTTAATATTTTTTTTTTGTTTTCGGTGCACTTTTTCTTTTCTTGTCTTCAAGACGTCGAGTTTAATTGCTTTGTGTCAGTCGGTACAGACATTGTCAGGACCAGTCGAACAATAAATGACCAATGTTTGTGCTTGTCTAGCCTTTTTACCGATATTTTTTGTCTTTCCAACTTCTCTCTCTCTTTCGCTTTTCTTTGTCTTCAACCTCTTTTTCTCTTAACAAATTTCTCACGTCCATCTTCCTTTCCACCCCTCTTCCTCTCTCTCTCTATCTCTCTTTCTCTCGTTCTATGTTTTTTTTTTTCAGTTCCGGGTCAGAACAACAAAACAGGAAGTACATTGAAGAGTGGAGTTAGCCTCCTGCGACCTCGACTGTTCAGCTCTGGTTAACAGAAATAAATAAATAAAAACAGCAACGGACACAAGGAAATAAATACAAAATTTATTAAAGAAAGAAAAGGGAAGAGAATATGAAGTTTAAGATGGCTAAAGAGAGTCAGTTGTAATAGAATTGGCAGGGACGACAAAAATATTTGACGACAGATCGGTCATCCTACTTTTGAAAATTCACAGACTTTGAGAGAATAATGAGGGATAACGCTTCTTTAAATAAACGCACATATTCAGCACACACGTTTTTGTGTAGAAGTAATACACAGAACCAGCCATAATACTACATTGACTGAGAGGTTCAAAATAACCTTCTATCTATCTATATATCTATCTATCTATCTATCTATCTATATATCTATCTATCTATCTATCAGTTCTTAGTCCTTTCTTCTATCTTTCTATTTATCTATTATCTATCTATCTATTTTTTTTATATAGTTCAGCACATCTATCTATCTATCATATCTATTAATCTATCTATCTATCTAATATCTATCTCTTAGTCTGTCTGTTTCTATCTATCTATCATATCTATCTATCTATCTAAATCTATCTATATCTGTATGCAACCTTCTCTCTCTCTCTCATCTGAAATATATATATATATATATATATTAAAGAAATTTAAACTCCAGCAAATTTTCATTTAACACGTTTGATTAAATAATATATATATAATGTTGTCTATTTATTTTGCAGTTAAAAATTTTCGTACAGATTTCTGATAAGTTTGATAACATTAATAGAATTGGTATTAAAAAAAAAAAATCAAAAATATTTATAAATTATATTTTTTTAATTTAATATATAACTTATTATTCAGACTGGCATGCCATTTTCAAAGATGTAATTAAAAATTATGATTCCAAACAATATACGGACACGACAGTGATGATAGAATGAATTTAGTTTACTATATAGTGGATCACAAAAGCAACGAACCTATTTATATATATATATCAATATATTAATGCATATTTCATTAAATAATATAAAGTTTTGTCTGTTTTTTAAAAACCAATCAATTTCATATTGTGTTGACAGTCTTAATCACATTAACATTGAAATTGAAAGGAAATTGTATATCCTGAACAAAATGGCAACGAAATTTTAACAAATATTCTATAAATCTATATTTTATAACAGAAGCCATTGATTTATACCAACGTCTTCCCATGGTTAATGAACTTTTCACTTTTCATTTTACAAAATTCATGCTCAATTGTGACTTTCATTTTTGCGACGCGATTTTCAGTCTTGTGATCTTAGACACGAGTTTGTCGTTGTTTAGAAATTTTTCATACTCTTCTTTGACAAGACTATCATTCTATTTCGTCAATTTTTACAATATATTAAAATTGCTTCATCTTTGAAAATGGCTTATGAGAAGCCGAAACCTTCAACCAATTGATGGTCTTTAAGATTGATTACACTTTATCAGACAATAATGAATTTTCCTTGAAATTAAATAGAAAAACTTGAATCATATATTATTTAGGAAAACATGCATTAATAAAAAATTGCTGCCTAAATCTACATATTTATATATATATATATATATATATATATATATATATATATGTTGATTTTGTACTAGGAGAGGGAATGAATATTTATTTTTGTTAAAAATAAGTGTCGAAAGGCTGGTGTTCACCATTTATCCTAGTCTAGTTCTAGTTAGTCACAATCCCCACCCAATCATTGAATACAATTTAGTCAATCACCACAAGAACTTGTCCATCACCTCTTAATCCTACATATCCCATAATACCATATTCAGCAAGGGAAAAACAAAACTAGTGATGACATCAAAATTTGTAAATGTTTAAAATATCTTATTTCGGTTTTAACTATTTTTTACAAAAATATGTAAAAAAATATGTAATAATGAAAATGATTGAGGGACGAAATGAACCCAAAAATAAAACTAAAGAATGAAATAAAAACAAACTAAAAAAAAAAACAGATGTTAGTAGAATCCGTCCAGCCCGCAAAATAATAAGAGTCGCCGCTGTATTCTGTCGACAGACAAAATCAAGAATGTTGTTTTCATAGAGTGGGAAGGAAAAATTAAACGTTGGCGTAGAAAAACAAGCCGAGATCAAAAAATGGGGCAAAACAAAATGGATCATAACAAAAGGGAATGCCGGGAACCGGCCGGGAACAACACTTATTTACATTGACCAATAAAACAAGGAACAGTCTAAATTAACCAGGGGAGGGTTCACAGGAAAATGCCCCGTTGTGCTTAACCCTAGAACATTAACCATTGAGTTAAAAATAAAATAAGAAATAAAAAAACATTATTTACAAAAAAATCAGGTAGTGAAAAAATTGTAATGGGAAAAAAATAGGAAAATTTGACCATGGGTATTATATACCCATGGCACAGTGTTCTAGGGTTAATAAACATAATAATCAGCAGCAGCCCTCTAGACATTATCAGCAGCAGCCCTAAAAATAATATCAGCAGCAGCCCATATAAAACATAATTTCAGCAGCCTGTTAAATAGACATAATGTCAGCTAAGTTCAACCCATAATAAACGTAGTATGCGGCAGGATAAGAGACATAGTCGTCCAGCAGCTGACCATAAAAAACATAGTATCAAGCAGCAGTCCAACAGACATAGTATCAGCAGCAGCCCATAATAAATCATAGTATCAGCATCAACTTTACCATAGACATAGTATCAGCAGCAGCCGTTAATAAACATAAAATCAGCATCATCCCTGTTGTAATAGACATAGCATCAGCAGCAGCCCATAATAAACATAGAAAGCAGCAGTCATTATTAGACACAGTATCAGAAGCAGTCATATTAATAGACACAGTATCAGCAAGGATTATTTAATAAAACCTAATATTAACAATAGAAAAACCCTATAACACTTTAACCATCAATTAAAGTTCTGACCACTTCTGCATGGGGATATCATAATGATTTTGAAAATATCAAAAAAAATTAAATATAAATCTTTATTTGAAATATTTTACATGCAGGCATTTCAAACTTTTGAACATGAGTTAACATTAATAGGAATTGAAAAACATTATTTAGGTGAGAAAATCACGTATTGAAAATTAAAATTAAAAATAGGAAAATTTGAGATGGGATAC